ATGTGACCTGGCACTAGGACAAACCAGTCAGAAATAGTTTTGGCAAATTAATTTTCAAAACATTGTTGATAAAACAGCTTGTTGTGACTAGAAATCTTCTTCTCTTCAATCATGTCTTGAAGATAATTTTAGTTAAACTTTCACGAAAGTGACTGGGGAAAAAACGTAATTATGTGCTTAAATTTGGAGTGCGCATTTCCAGACAATTGGATTCATGAGTAGTAAAGGAGCTAGCCTGCAAACAGGCTCCTGGTTAGCCTGCGGTGAGCCCGATTGCTTCGCTCATTCTTCTGTTTCGCGCTCGCCGATTTTTTTTCTGCCCTTGCTAGGAGCCTGTGTTCAGGTTATAAAGGAGCTAGCCTGCAAACAGGCTCCCAGTAGCAATTGCATTTAAAAATACGTTATTGAACTATCTTATTGAGACCTTTTCAGGGTACATTGGTCTTCTATTATTTTGGCAAGTTTAATTTAATGTTGATTAAGTTTGATTAATTATTTTTGTATTCCCCTACAGACAGCAGCATTGCGTGCAGTGGGAAACATTGTAACAGGAACAGATGAACAGACACAGGTAAGCCTAACACCCAACCTTCTAATCTCCAATAATATTTTCCCCTCCCCATACTTAACGATTATTCCACAAGGGCGCGTAGGATATGGGATGATAGATAGTCAACGCTAGGTGCGTAGCACCGACTTGGCTATAATCATCTCATATCCAACAAGGGCAAGTGGAATAAACCACCAAAATATAGAAAACTAAAGTAAAATAAAAATAAAAACGCCCAAAAAATCATGTGTACACTTACCATATTTGTAGAGGGTAATACTATGATGAAAAGCCTTGAATTGCAGTATTCAATGATCCAGTTTTTAATAAATTCCAATAGCAGCATTCTGAGTTAGCTCATAGAAAATGATGCACCTCTTCCAATTGTCATTTTGTAGAGCATGTTTGTTATTTCATGTTGTTACAGTGTGCTCTGGTACCAGTTTTAGGATGTTATTACTGGATTCTATGATATATAATAAATGAAGAAAGATAGTAATTTCTTGTGTGTTCCATATTTTGTGCCTCTTATCCCATGTTTGGAGTTTTACCATGTGTAATTTCAATTTGCAGATAAGAGATTTAAACAAAGCAATCTACTGGTAATATGTATTCTTACTCTGTTATTTTAGGTTGTTCTCAACCATGATGCTCTGAGTCACTTTCCAGCATTACTTAACCACCATAAGGAAAAAGTAAAAAAGGTCAGTTCTAAATTACAAATATATGTGAGTAGTAGTCGGGCTGGGCCTTTAGACCACGGGGTTACTATTGCTGATGCATGGGCTTGTGAGCAATTGGAAAGTTCATCATTTTACTGTTTGTCTTTTTCTGTTTCAATAGGAAGCAGTTTGGTTCTTGTCTAACATCACAGCTGGTAATCAGACCCAGGTTCAGGTAAATATCAACCAAGCACTTTTTTCCGAATATAAGGACTGTCCAACAGTAACATATTTTGATTTGCACACGTGAGTATTTTAAGGTTACTTCCCACCTTCAGAGGTCAAAAAAATCGTTTTTTCTTTTATTTGACAAAATTTAAGTTCGTCATTTTATCTAGTGTTTCCAAAAG